CGCGGAGGGTGGCGTTCGAGAGGGCTCCTCGAGCTGAAGGGATCCCCCGAATTTGGTGGAGATCCGCCGCCGCGTTCGCGAGATAGTGACACCAGCCAACACTTTCACTTCACTTAAGTCTCATTCCGCCATGATTCCAGTTTCGAAGGGAACGTACACGTTACATTCAAAGGGCATTAAAGTGCGCGAGACGTGAATTTATATTGTATTTATTTACAGATGTAGATTATGTCACACTTCTCTAGTAAGTTTCGTCTGTGTTTGAAGACAGTAGCGCAAATCCGTGAATGAATGTTCCGTAGTGAAATTGGAATAAAATTGAATAAACTTCAACTTTACTGTTCAGTGCACTGATGTCAGACTCATTTTGGATAAAAAATGTATTGTTAAATTGTTAAATGCCCTGCCTATCGGTATCGGCCCTAAAAAACCCATATCGGTCGGGCTCTATCTCGGTACCCATCCCTACACATGAATAATAATAAATTATTTTAAAATATGTTAAAATTTACTTTGAATCAAATTTAATTCAGATATTGCTATATAAATAATGTTTTCTTGTAAAACGTTTTCCAATATTTTTATTTACATCTTTAAAACAATCATTTGTTCATAAATCGATTCATCTCATCATAAATTGAAGGCTTTGAACGTCTCACCTCTGAGGGTTTGGCCACGTCTTTCTCATCCTGGTATTTGGCCCAGGGGCCGAGGAAGCTCTCGATGTCTGACGCATCTCCACCTTTCACCTTCTTCCTCTTCTCTGTCTTCTTCGCTCCCGTCTCAAACACCATCAGCCCTAGAGGAGGAACAATAACAGCATGAATTAACAGCCATTTCTTCTGACATACATACAACACACACTTTTACAGGGGTGCAAACTCATCATGGGTGAAAAACGTGACAAAGACAACATTTATTAAACACTTATAATATTTTAAACCCTTTATTATTTTTTAACTCTACAGTTGTGCAGTAAAATTCACTTTGAAAATTCACATTTCATTCATGAAGATGACATGAAAAAAATGTCTCCTGGTGGAAAACAAAGACTTGTAAAATTAAATTAGCATTATAATGCATTATAATATGATCCTTCAGAAATTATTCTAATATTCTGATTTGCTGCTCTAAAACATTTATTATTATTATGTTGAAAACAGCGGAGTATAATTTTTTCAGGTTACTTTGATGAATAGAAAGTTTAGAAGAACAGCATTTATCTGAAATAGAAATCTTTTGCAACATTATAAGTGTCTTTATCATCACTTTTGATCAATTTAAAGCATCCTTGCTAAACAAAAGTATTAATCTCTATAATTTTTAGATAGAAAATTATATTTTTTTTTTTATCCCCCCCCCAAAATAAAAATGATACTGACTCCAAGCTTTTGAATGGTATAGTGTATAATATTACAAAAGCTTTTTATTTCAGATAAATGCTGATCTTTGGATCTTCCTATTAATCAAAGAATCCTGAAAAAATGTACTCAACTGTTTTAAATATTAATAATAATAATCAATGTTTTTTAAGCACCAAATCAGCATATTAGAATGACTTCTGAAGATCATGTGACACTGAAGACTGGAGTTATGATGCTGAATATTCAGCTGCGCATCACAGAAATAAATTACAGTTTAAAATATTTTCAAATAGAAAGCAGTTATTTTAAATAGTAAAAATATTTCACAATTTTACTGCTTTTGCTGTATTTCTGATCAAATAAATGCAGGCTTGGTGAGCAGAAGAGAATTCTTTAAAAAAGATAAAAAATATTACTGTTCAAAAACTTTTGACTGGTAGTGTAGATCGAGTCCACTTTGATTGAATGTTGTTATTGACAATATTTATAATTGCGAAACATTTATAATTGATGAAAATGAAAGAAGAGATGCTGAATGACATGAATCAAACCTTTGTTTTTCTCCGCTTCTTCCACGGCTCCAATGTAGCTGCTGGATGAGACCTCACTGGTGTCCACAGACGGGTCCAGAGCGTAACCTGATCAATCACACACATCTGATATTGAGTATACATGTTCTGCGTGTGATTCGAAGACACACGAGTGAGAATGACGTGTATCTCTCACCGAACGTGGAGAACGTTCTTCTCTGCTGCTCAAACATGAAGTCGTTGACATGAGCCGGTTCGGCGTAACCAGACAGCATGTTTCTCGGGGCGGACATCTGTTTCGATCTGAACGGGTTTGTTGGTCCAAACTGGAATGAGATGAGAGAATTGATATAAACTAGATAAAAAAAATTTGTCAAGACAAACTTTAGGTTAAAGGGGTCATATGATGCGATTTCAATTTTTCCTTTCTCTTTGGAGTGTTACAAGCTCTTGGTGCATAAAGAAAATCTGTAAAGTTGCAAAGACTAAAGTCTCAAATCCAAAGAGATATTCTTTATAAAAGTTAAGAGTCAGCCACGCCTACCTAAAACGGCTCGTTCTAACACGCCCCCACATATCTACCTCACGATCTGGGAAGAATTGCATAACGCCGCCCAAATGTTCACGCAAAGAAAGAAGGCGTAACTTTTATTCTCATACCATGATGCGAGCGTGTGGCGGCGCTGACCCAGATCCGGCGTGATCACTGGTACTGTCGTGAACGCGCGTCCACAACTAATGCAGTAGAGATGAAAATGTGGAATAAAGTCATTATTTTTGTTTTCTTTGCGCAAAAAAGTATTCTCATAGCTTCGTAACTTTACAGTTGAACCGCTGATGTCACACAGACTACTGTGCCTTGAACGTGGTAGTTACCTTGCTGTCTATGGGAGGGTCAGAGAGCCCTCAGATTCAATCAAAAATACCTTAAATTGTGCTCCGAAGACAAACGAAGGTCTTACGGGTTTCGAACAACACGAGGGTGAGTAATTAATGACAGCATTTGCATTTTTGGGTGAACTATCCCTTTAAGTCTAGCCTGAAAATTTGAAAGAGTTGTAAAAGCTTGACAAGTTTTAAACAGTTTTAATCAAATTGAGACAGATAGACAGATAGCATGATTTAGCATATTGCTAGGATGTTTTAACACGTTGGTAGCACGTTGGTAGAATGGTTTTAACATGATGTTGCTACCATGTTTCTACATGATGTTAACATATTGCTAGCATGCTTCTGGTTTAGCACTATTAGCATGTTGTTAGCATGTTTTTAACATTATTAGCATGTTGCTAACATGATTTGCAGGTTTCTAACATCAATAGCATGTCATTAACATGTTACTAACATGTATCTAACATAATTAGCATGCTGTTAACCTGTTTCTAACATGATTAGCATGCTACTAGAATGTTTCTGGCATGATTAGCATTCCGTTAGCATTTTGTTGGCATGTTTCTAACATGATAAGCATGTTGCTAGCATTTTACTAGCATGTTTCTAGCATGATCGGCTTGTTGTTAACATGTTTCTAACATGATTAGCTTGTTGCTAACATGATTTCCATGTTTCTAACACGAATAGCATGTCGTTAGCATGTTACTAACATGTATCTAACATAATTAGCATGCTGTTAACATGTTTCTAGCATGATTAGCATGTTACTAGCATGTTTCTGGCATGATTAGCATGCCGTAAACATTTTGTTAGCATGTTTCTAACATGATAAGCATGTTGCTAGCATTTTACTAGCATGTTTCTAGCATGATCAGCTTGTTGTTAACATGTTTCTAACATGATTAGCTTGTTACTACATTTTACTAGCATGATTGGCATGTTGTTAGCATGAAATAGTACATTGATAGCAAGTCTTAAGTTGCTAAGCTTGGATAGATAGACAGATAAGAAATATTAGGTAGAATGGAAGCTTAAATGAGTCTAAAATGATTAGAAATAGTACATAGAATGGCAGTTTGATTGAGTCTCAAGGGATTCTGGGAGTTTAAATTTGAATTTTGACAGTTGGAGTTTGAATAGTCTTGGCTCATTTGAACATTCCGCCAATGTAAGTCGATGGAATTTTTATGATTTTTCATTTTCATTTTTAGGAAAAAATGTAAGTCTCATCAGTCTGAAAAGAGCAAGCAACCCGAGTCAGAATAATCTGAAGATCTGGGCTGAGTTTGGTGGTTGTAGTTTGAAAACTCTAGGAGGAGCAGCTTTTAGAAATGTAGTCTAAGAAGAAGAATAAACTTATATTGCAGACCAGTAGTTTGTCTTTCTCAAACCAACCTAACAAGACGCTCATATCACATATTACACGCAATAACTGAAAAACACAATATGAATGCATGCATCAGTCACCTCTGGAGCAAACATGGTTTCATATGTAGGGTTGTAAGTGACTTCTTTGAGTGCTGGATCAAGATGAACACCGGTCTCAACATCTTCCTGACAAACACAACACACGATTTTACTTATCAGTTAGTGAACAGAACACCAAAATTAACATTTTACTCGACTGTTTATCCTACAGAGTTAATACACAAACATAGCAGCGTTTTTCAAAATACAGTTCACTTAAAAACCACTTTAACGTCATTAAAATCTACTGTAACGTTACTGAAGCATTCTGAGGTGTGTTTGACGCAAGCGTTTCTTGTTTACCTTCACGGCGACTTCGGGCGCGGAATTCAGAACGGCTAACGCCGTTATAGTGCCGGGTTTTAACGGCTGAAGATGAGCTACCGCGTCTGGATCGACCTTCTGCGGACTGGTAACGTTACCGAATTCGGACTCGTTTTCCGAATCTGAGCCGCTGCCGTAAGAAACGAGGGAACTCGCCGCCGCCGCCATCTTGGATGTTGTTGGTCTTTCGTCAGCAAGTCCTTCTTCTTCTTCTTCTTCTTCTTCTTCTGATGTTTATTGGCGGTTTTGGCAAACCAACTGAAAGGTGCATTTCCGCCACCTACTGATCTGGAGTGTGGAGTGAACAGATTTGGTAGAGATAAGGACATTAAAAAAAATAAAAAATAAAAATGTTATACCACAATTACAATTTATATTCTTTCCATACTTCCTGTCTTTTTTAGATAATTGAACACTTCTTTAATTCTTGATTGCATTTGTCTATCCCCTAGTAATATCTTGAGTGATACTTTATCATGTCCCATCAAACCTAATTTATGATTAAGTTGATTTCTTTCTCTTTCATACGCATCACATTCTAGAAGAATGTGCTTTACTGTTTCTGGATTCCCACATTTATCACATCTTCCATTTTCATGCTTCCCTATTTTGTGTAAATTGAAATTTAAAGCTGAATGTCCAATCCTCATTCTTGTTATGATAACATCTTTCTTCCTGCTCCCACATCTTATTCTCTCTTCAACTACACACCCCTGTATCTGGTAAAGGTGCCTTCCTTTTATTCCACTATCCCACAACTTTTGCCATATCTTTCTTACTTCAACTGACATAAATCTCTTGATTTCAGATTTGCTAATTGTTATATTAAAAAGTGTTTCTGTTGCTCATGAAAACGTTTCTGAAACGTCTGAGGGATGGGAGATACCAATTATTTTGTTTCCGATACGATACCGATATTTTTCAAGGCAGTATCGTCGATATCGATACCGATTCAATACTTCTGAACTAAACTTTTAAATTATGAAATGTATTAAATTATTAAATTACTAAGAGTAAAAT